ATTATTCTCTGAGATTCGTAAGTGCGTCCTGGCGAGAGTTGGGCAGGCGGTCCGCCAAACCCTTGGGTACACCTTAGGGGAAGGTAGGGCTGCCACAAAGATTACAACAGAAACCTGAGCTAATGGTCATAAAAGGAAGAAAAACATCAAAGGAAGAAAAAGCTAGCACAAGTGTAGGAAAAATTTTGACGAATTGGGTGAGGATTTAGACTTAAATGAAGAGGAAATGAGTAAAAGGAACTACCTTTGATGAGTAAATGCAGTAATCCTCGAAGAAAAATGGATCCAAGAGCGGGAAGATGAAGTTGAAAGTTCCTTGGAACTGACTTCAAGAGCTGATGATGTTGTGACTTTGAGCCTGGATTCGACAATTTTAGAGGTGTTTTTTCGGAAAGTTTTCTAAACAAAAGTTGTCTCTTGACAAATGTAGATAGTGTAGAAAAAGAAAAATTACCTAAACGACTAAAATCGAGGTCGGATTTCTATCAGCAAGAAGGCTGAATCATTTGGCTTAAGAAATGTTTTTGAAATATTCTTCCAGGAGAGCAGATTCGAGCCTCGATTTGAGGGGATTCTTTTGCAAACAATTTCTAAATGAAACTGTCATGCCCCATGTTTTTGGAAAATAATTTAGGTGTTGAAAAATGAGTTTTAGAGAATATTGGCATATTAAAAAATGTGTTTTTTGATATTAGAAAATAAAGAAAAAGGGGCTTCAAATGGGGCTTGAAAAATGTGACGATTTGGGTTCAAAATAATAATTTAAAAAAGATTTTTTATAAAAAATAGGAGTCACCGCTTGATATTGAATTTAGATGTACCAAATCACCCAAAATATATTTTAAATAAATAAATAAATAAAACTTCTTTTAAACGACTCCAGATATTTGAAAACAAGAGAAGATGGTTCGGGAGTCACAGTTGAAGAAAGGGAAAACAAAGATTTGACAGGTTCTAAGGGTCTATCATTGGATTAGTCCATATTTATAAGTTCTCACTAGCGTTGGACTAGTGAGAAAACGGAAAAAAGGCCACAACTAGCATTGGACTAGTGTGGTGACGTCATACATTTATTATAACTAAATAAATTATATAAAACATAATTAAAGCAAGTAAACACATAAAGCATATAGAGCACATAATACATAGGCATGACATTTAGATGCAAAACCCTAAAGAAAGCGAATAAACACATAAGCACTCAAGCATGCAAGCACACAAGCAAATAAACACACATAAAAACCTAACTATTACATTTGGGGAAAAACCTAACTATTACATTTGGGGGCTCTAACTACGATCTAAAGGGGAATTTGAAAAAATAATAACCTAACTACTAAATTTATCTAACTAATTATATTTTTTGGCAAATATAAAACCTATCTATTACATAGTCTAACTAAATACATTTCTTGGGTATCTATCTATTACAATTTAGCATTCAAAATGCCTCTCAAATAATCATCAAAATTAAATAAAATAAATGAGACTTAAAATGAACAAAATGAGTAAATAAAAGAAAAAACACTCAAAACATTCAATTACATATAAAACCACATAGGAGCACATAAGAGAATTTAAAATAATAAAAGAAGGTACCTCCCTTGAAGTAGTGGTTAAATGAGGTTGAGTTTATCCTATTTATACTCCAAAATCAACAAAATGGTCAAGACACCAATTTAATTAAAAAAATAAATTACAAAGAAGTGGAAATAACCAAGAAATCTACCAATTAAAAGTATTTAAATAAAGTATAATAAACAATTAAAGAAGATAAACAACTTATATTTAAGATGTCAAAACTATTAGGGACCTAATTGCAAAAATCAAGAACATTTTTGGGTCAAATTATAATTATTACAAAGATTAGGGGTCAAAATTGAATAAAAGATAACGTTTAGGGATCAAATTACAATTAAATTAGGGATCTAGTTGAAAGAAATTAAACATTTTTAGGACTACAGTAAAATTACTCAAAAGTCTAGGGATTGAAATGCAATTTTCGTTATCAGATTTCTTGAGATAAAAGGCCACTTGGGCCATTTTTATAATCTCTTGGGTCAAAGGCCATCTTGGCCCAACGAAATCCAAAAGAATAAACACGGGTCAATCCATTCTTTTTACCAATCAAGCCTAACCGAAATGCATGGGCTTTACCTTCCCAAATCCATGTCAAAACCCAACCAAAATAAACTTGAACCCTACTTATTAACATATCTAGTCTATGCGGGAATGGGGAGCTTTTCAATTGGGTTCTGATTGCTGACGTGGCGCCCTGCTATTGGTTGATTGGTGGACGTCTGCCCGTGCCAATTTCCAATTGATGGTCGTCTAGCCGTATGAATTCCCACGCATGAATTCTTTTGTTTGCTTGCTCAAGCGTTTAGCAATTCTTTTGTTTCTTTTTTGTTTGTTGTTTGCTGGGAGGTGTTCCGCTAAACTCTGGTCCCACATGGCATTGGTTTTTTCCCTTTTCCATTTTTTTCGTGTGAATTGGATCTCTGTCGATTCTTTTGCTACTTTGTTTGCTTCGACGTCTAGCTAGCAATTCTCTGGTGTCTTTGTTTGCCTGGATTCTTCCACTAAAATCTGGTCCCGCCTGCCTTTGAATTTTTTTTCTTTTCCCAGCTTTTTATTGGATTGGAAGTGCTTGTTAACATATTACATGTGAGATTGTGCTAAAATTTGGCCCTTTTTTTGCCCTTTCCCAACAATAAATTGTGTTGCCAAAAAAATTGGTATCCCAATTCTTTACAATTATCAGTGCTTTCTTTTGGTTTCCAGATAAATCACAATTATTAATTATTAATTTTTATTGTGATAATTGCTTATGTTATGCTTCAACTATACTAATTATTATATACTATCATTTTTTTGTAATTGCTTTTGTTATGCTCCAGTTGTGAAAAAAATACTCTTTATTTGATTTTTTTCCAACGATCTCTTTATTTATTTATTTATTTTGGAATGAGAGGGGAAGTCATTGAACTATTATTATCAAATTTTCATGACAATCTTTATTTGGTGTTGATTCTACGTAAACAATCGACAATGTGGTGCCCTTCTATTAGTGTCATTTATTATTTGGTCACGCCACACACCATGTTTAATTATCGATTCCCTACTATTAATTGTTATAATTATTTGTTTACCTATTTTTATTTGGGTTCCTTTTTTTTACCAAATAAATCACATTTAATTACCAATTTTTTACAATAAATTGTTAATAACTAATAAATAATACCATTTTTTTTACTGTCATTTTTTTTTACCCAGCACATCGCATTTAATTCATAACTTTTTTGCAATTATTAGCAAAATTTTTTTTGGTCCTTGTAAAAAAAATCGCATCTATTTACCTTTTTTTCAAATTTTATTAAGAAAATGTCTTCTTTTGTTTTGGGTTGCCCAACAAATGATGTTTAACTATCAGCTTTTTCAATTACTTTTTTATTAATTCGGTTCTAATTTTGCACTTTTATTGCCAGATAAATAACATTTAATTACTAGCTTTTATGATTATTAATACTTTTTGTTACCCAAAAAATTGCATTTAATTACCATTTCTATGTAGTTATTAGCCAAGAAATATGCTTGCCTTATTCTTTTCTTTCATTACTTTTCCTGTCGTAACCAAACTTCTTATTGCTAATGTGATTGACTGATTTTTACAAACAAGCCTGCATTTTGTTTGTTTAGTTCCAAAGCCTGCTTTCTCGACTTCCTCATTAGGCATCACTTGTCACCAGCCTGTTCTTGCTGACAAGTGACTGTACTGGAGCTAATTAGTGCCTATCTTATTTCACTATATTACCCATCTCTTGTGGCTACATTTACGCTTCCACTCAATAGGCCTTGCAGCCTTTTTCCCTTTACTTGAGGTTATATCTGTAAATCTGCAAAAAATCGTTACTTTTCACCATTGTCGACCATCAGCTTCCTTTTGATGCCGTTGATTGACATTGTTTAGTGTTTTGCATTTGCACAATGGTTACAGAGTTTCTCTGGTCTTCCGCAGCGAATTTTCTACTGAGCATCATCATGAACAGTGGTAATTGTGCATCTACTGCATTCTTTTCCCTATTGTATTGCTCTTGTTTCTTTGTTAGACAAAAAAGAGAACTACCTCATACGCATTGTTCTTCGTTTTCTTTGGCTATTTTGAACCTTTGTTTTCCCTAATTTATTAGTGTGGTTTTAATTTGCACTGGTGCTGTCGTTTTTGCTTCCTGGTGAGCATATTGGTTTTGTAGTTCGCTTTCATTTGTTGTTCTTTAGTTGTTCGGATATTTCAGAATTGCTATCATGCTGCTTTGTTTGTTATTTCTTCTTTGCTTCCCTATTTTCTAATGCACTGGTTCGACCGTTTTTACTTTTTTGTTTGCCCCTTCTAAATTATTATCACCAAATTAGCTTCTCTTTTTCTCTCCCTTTTTTTTTCACCTTTTCTTATTACCTCTTACATGATTGTGATTTCTTTGATAGTTTTTGCTGTTATTCACTTCTGCGGTGTTGAGCTTCTTCGTGTTCACAGGTTAGTTATTCTGATTTTATTCTTCTTTTGCTCTTTTCTCTATATTTTATCCTTAATTTGTGCATCTTTGGCATGCATTTTCTGATGCATCAGTACTTACGGCCTGCTCCAGTTTTACCTTTTTTTAGTTTGGGACTTTTTGCCTTTCTTTATCTTTTATGATCCTTATACTTGCATATATGAGTTATTCTATTGTTTTTGGTGCTATATTTACATGCCTGATTATTTTTTATGTACACATTTGTTCTTTGCTCAGCTGTCGGCTATGAACTCCTTTACCTCCTTGTTGTTCGTTTGTTTTTTGCCTGCTTTGTTTTCTGCCAATTTTTGATTTACATTCTTTTTTGCTAAGTTAGATATTCCTTTCTTTATATAGTCCTTCGACATTTTGCGCTCTTAGTAAAAAACAAATGGATAGAAATGCTACTCACCGCAAAAAGTATGCAGAAATGCCACCTTAAAAAAAATGGAACTCCTGCAACGTCGAAAAGAAAATAGAGCTGCCAAGAAAAAGAATGCGTATTTACTCCCACGTATTCGTAAAGTTCCACTTGGTTATATGGAATCGGGTGTTTCTTTCCCTGATTCACATCATGAAAAACTTGATGGTGCGAATCACTCTTCTATGTATAGTGAAAAGTTAGGAAGCGAAGCCTTGAAGAGAGGTCATGGCAGTGCCGATGTCATTACTGAGGCATTACAATATATGTCCTCTCGCGATTTTGCTCTTTTTGTTCCTCACGTTCATTCTGCACCCTCTTCTGAGACAGCAAATGACATGCCAAATGCAAGTATTTTTGCAGGTATAGTTGGCAATGTCCTTCTTTTGCTGCTTTCTTCTTGTCCAGTTCTAGGTTTTTAGACCGCCTTCGCTCCCCTACCTGCTGGTTGCTGATTCTACATTTCAATTCTTTGTAAATGAATGCATCTTCATTTGCAATCTGCAGAGCTTCCACTTACTGCTAGGGCTGATCTTAGAAGCTGCAAGGGAAAATTTCTTCCAAAAAAAAGGAAAAATTTGAACCTTCCATCTTCCACTATTGAGCCTGATTTCTGCCTACCTAGGAGAAAAATTAGGAACTCTATACTTGTAGCACTGCATGATCGACTAGGCGATTGCTTTAATCGTTTTGATAGCGTCGTCCAAGCTCTCAACTTTGACAAAGAGTATTTGCTTACGAACAATCTTTTTGAAAATCCAGTTGAGTATTGTTCTTCAGCCCATGTTTTTGTGAACTCTGAAGAGCTTTATCCTCTCACAACTACAAGTAAGACAGGTCAATTTCCACAACAAAAGGATGCATCTTTTAATGAGCAAAATTCTATAATTGGATTTGCTTGCTCTTTTCGTGTGATGTCGGTTGACAGGCCCAACAGCTCTTCTCGACTTTCTGAGAGCATCCTGCAACCTTCTTGCATAGGCAAAGATCCTCTACTTGCTCCTGAGCTTTTTGAAAATGTTGCGAGTACTCTTCTTTGCCCAAAGTTCATATGAAATCTGGTCAACTGCAATCTCTCTTCACTGGTAGGCACCAAATATTTCATTTTGGAAAAAATATGCCACCTTCTGAGAACCACACTTGTGAAACAACTTCTGCTTCTCAAGGTATATTTTTTAAACAGCAGCTATGCTCAACACAACCCTGTTGAGTATTCTTTAATTCCCTCCACATACTGATTGTGTTCGCTGAAATAACATTAGCCCCTTTTGGTTAGCTTATTTCTTAATACGGTTGCAGAAACCACCTCTGTTCAAGAGAGACAATCTACCCATTCTATTAGAAAAAATTGATTCTGTGAGGAAAGCAACAACAATTTCCCACTCTTCTGGTTTCTTATGTAAAGTGCAACCTTCGCCCCGAAACCACTGTTCTCATCGCCGTGTGAGGAAGCAAACTCCGGGTTGGCATTTTATTCTTCAATAACTATTTCAGGTATTTTAGATGCCATTGCTAATTAGCCTAATAGAGGCACAACTTAGCTCGTTTCTCAGCTATAGTTTCAAAATAAATGCAGTTGCACCTAAAAGAGGGAGACAGCGACGAATTTTTCCGATCAATGAAATCCCACACGAAGCTTTAACTCTTCCAGATGCTGCTGATTATGAGCACTGTGGAGCCAAGAGGTTCCATTTAGAACCTCCTAACTTTTGCTGCTCTGGAGGAGATATTTCTATCGTGGCTCCATCGATGTTTTATGATCTTAAGCGCCTATTTATCGAAAATAATGAAGAAAGTGCTCATTTCAAAAATAATGTTTGGACCTATAATAACAACTGGAGATTCACATCCTTTGCTGCAAAATATGATCCAGAACTGACCAAGAACACGAAAGGTGTTTATACTTTCCGTGTTCAAGGTCAGGTCTACCATTTCCTTAATAGTTTGATGCAGTCATACGAAAAACCTTCTGAAATTCAGTTTTACTTTTTTGATTCTGAAGAAGAATTAGCAAAGAGGATTGGAAGTTCTGATAAGTTGCGTGAAAGCACTTTAAGATTACTTATGTGCATCCTTTCAAACAATCCTTATGCAAAATTCTTTAAGAATCTCAGACATGTCCCAAACATTGACACCTATAAAATTGTTTTGAATTGTCATCCCGGTTTGGACCAGCGTGTCTATAATCTGCCTACGGCCTCTTAAGTTGTTGCCATATGGACTGAGGATGACGATGAATCGAAAGATAGAAATATTCATATTCAAGTTTATACCCACTCTAATACCAGTCATAGGATTGAGCATTACTATGGCTGCTATGATCCTTTGCAGTACCCTATTCTCTTTCCTCAAGGTGAATGTGGATGGCACCATGGTGTTAAAAAATGTTGCAAGAGGAAGAGAAAGGCAGATTCTTGTGAGGATGATTTAAATATTGATCCTTTCTCTGTTAATAACCCTTCATATTTACTCGATTTGGAACACAGAGGCAAGTGTATTTCTTGCTATTTGAGACTGTTAGGGTGAGCATCATAAACTTTTCATCATTAGTTTGACATTTCTTACTTCTTCTTTATAGCCGTTGAACATGGAAAGAACGAAGAGGACACTGTATCAGTTAGAAAATGTTATTGTTATAGGTTTCAAATAAGAGACAGCGATGAGTCGATGTTGCTGCACTGTCTTAGACTTCTACAACAATTTTTAATTGATTCCTATGTGAAGATAGAAATTTCTAAGCTGGACTTTCATAGACACCTACAAAATGTTGTCAGATCAGAAATTCTTCAAGGGGTATTGGATAGTGTCTCTCTAGGCAAAACTGAAGGTTCTAAAGTTGGTCGTAGGATAGTGCTGCCTGCTTCCTTTATAGGTGGTTCCAGAGACATGAGGCATCGCTATCTTGATGCAATGGCACTTGTACAAAAATACGAAAAATCAGACATTTTTCTTACCATGACCTATAATCCGGCATGGAAAGAAATTCAGTGCAATTTGAAGTATCATGAGAAGCCGCAGGATAGGCCTGATTTTTTAGCTAGAGTTCTTAGAGCTAAATTTGAAATGCTTAAACATGAACTCTTGAATAGGCAGATTTTTGGTGAGGTAGCAGCATGCGTCTATGTCATTGAGTTTCAAAAACGGGGATTTTCACATGCTCATTTGTTACTCATTTTAAAGCCTCAATTTAAGTTGCTCAATCCAGAGTCATACGACAAGATAGTCTGCGCTGAATTACCTGATCGCCTTCAGTATCCTCACCTCTATTCTCTTGTTGTAAAGCATATGATCCATGGTTCTTGTGGAGACATGAATAAAAGTTGTCCCTGTATGAAAGACGGTTCCTGTAAGAATCACTATCCAAAAATTTTTTGCCCTCATACAACCCATGGTGAAGATAGTTACCCATATTATAGAAGGAGGGATGGTGGCAAGAAAGTGAAAGTTCGCAGATTCACCCTTGATAATAGGTAGGTTGTGCCTTACAACCCCTATCTTCTTGCTTTGTTCGATTACTACATGAACGTGGAGATTTTTTCTACCATTAAACTGGTCAAGTACCTGTATAAGTATGTGTTCAAGGGACATGATCTGGTCTCCTTTAGGATTATGACAGATGATAGTGCTACTGATACTGACGAGATTAAAGAGTTCCAAAAAGGTAGATACATTTCACCTCCGGAAGCGTTTTGGCGTATATATGAGTTCCGTTTAAATGAGATGACCCCATCTATTTATACTCTCCAGATTCACCTTCCAAATCAGCAGCTTGTTTCTTTTCCGAAAAACTCAGATTTGCTGCAATTGTTAGCAAAAGTTGATTTTTTTAAGACCATGCTAATTGAGTTTTTCAAGATGAATACAACCAATGCAACCGCTGAAAACCTTAAATGCTTTTATAAAGATTTCCCTCAGCATTTCGTTTGGTCTTCCAAGTATAAACACTGGACGGAAAGGAAGCGTCGAAAGGTGATAGGTAGACTTGTCAGTGTTAATCCAAGAGAAGGAGAGAGGTACTATCTAAGGCTTCTCTTAAATCATATTCCTGGACCGATATCATTTGAAGATCTCTTGACTGTTCATGATAAAAAAATGAACTCATTTAGAGAGGCTGCTTTAGCGCTTGGGTTGTTGCAATCTGATACGTATATAGAAGAAACACTTGAGGAAGCCGCTGCATTTCAAATGCCATCTTCGCTCAGATTATTATTTGCTACTCTTCTGGTCTATTGTTCTCCAACTGGTCCCACGATGTTGTGGAAAAAAATTTGAATTGGACTTTTCTAGGGATTATCTCTGGCACAAACAATCTCATGACCACTCTTCTGCTGAAATTAGGGGATTAGTTCTTGCTGATATTAACAAATCTCTTAAGCAGATGGGTACAAGCATTGCGGCGTATCAGTTACCATTAGATGACCTTGTTAGTGTGGATCAAGTTCACCTAACAAAAAAGATAGAGGCTGAAAGAAATATAGACATACCACCGGAAAATCTGCTAATGTCTTTAAAATTAAATTCCCAGCAAAAGTATGCTTATAACAAGATCCTAAAAGCATGCTTTGCTTCCCAAAGACATTCTTTTTTTATTGATGGTCCTGGAGGTACCGGTAAAACATTTTTATACCGGTCGCTGCTTGCTACTTTGAAATCGCAAGGTTATATAGCCATTGCAGTAGCAACCTCTGGAATTGCAGCGTCTATCCTTCCTGGAGGAAGAACTGCACACTCAAGGTTCAAGATACCTCTTGATTTCTCAAAGAACAGAACTTGTCAGCTTAGCAAGCAAGGCAGTGTTGCAAAGCTGTTTTCGGAGTCTAAACTGATCTTGTGGGATGAAGCTTCCATGGCTAAACGAGAAACTATTGAGGCATTTGATGATTTGCTTAGAGACATAATGGAATCTGAACTGCCTTTTGGAGGTAAAGTTATTGTATTTGGTGGGGATTTTCGGCAAACACTACCTGTTATTGAACAAGCAACAAAGGAGGTCCTTTTGCAGTCTTGCTTTCTCAATTCTCCATTGTGATATAAGCTTCATAAACTGAAGTTAACAGAAAACATGCGAGTTATATTAGATCCTCAATTTTCTGAATTCCTATTAAGAGTTGGTGAAGGGCGCGAGCCTATGGACTTGAACAACGAAATAACTTTGTCCAGAGATTTAGTCATTCCTTATTACGATAAAGAAGAATCCTTAAACAGGTTAAATGACTTAATATTGGCCTGTTTTATCCATCTGTTCTTTAGTGTATACAACTTCTAATTTAACTTCTTTATTAACAGGTTGCTACACTCTGTATTTCCAGATTTAACTCTCTATTCTCAGGATCCATATAGCATGATTAATAGATGTATTCTTACCCTTAAAAATAACTCGGTTGATGAGTTGAATGATATAATGATTAGAAGGTTTCCTGGAGAGCTTTACACTTACATTAGTTCTGACAAAGCTATTGATCAGCGGCACCAGGGTGATTACGAGGATTTCCTTAATTCTCAGAATCCAAAAGGTCTTCCTCCTCACAGGTTAATGTTAAAAGAAAACTGCCCGATTATACTAATAAGGAATCTAAATCCTGTTGAAGGGCTATGCAATGGCACAAGGCTTATATGTAGAGAGCTTGGCCGGCATATTATCTCTGCTGAAATTGTCTTCGGCCAGCATAGAGGAAAGAGAGTTCTCATTCCAAAGATACCCTTACAAACTTCTAACAACCAAAAGAATTTCATTGCATTCATAAGAACTCAGTTTCCTGTCCGCCTTTGTTTGCGTTGACCATTAATAAATCTCAAGGACAGACTCTTGATTATGTTGGGATTTACTTGCGAGAGCCTGTCATTTCTCATGGATAGCTATATGTAGCCTTGTCCAGAGCTAGAGCTTCAACTGAGCTGAAAATACTTATTGTACCAGGAACTTTTGATGGTATAAAAATAGATTGCAAAACTAGAAATGTTGTGTTCAATGAAATTTTTGAATTGAGCCAGCAGTAGAATGTTCTTATATTCAGGTATACTTGTACCAGTTTATAGCTGTGTTTACTTACTGTTAAGGTCATATCTATACCTAAACCTGTCCATTATGATCCTTTTCCCATTTTTTACAGGAATGTCTAACCTCTTGCCGATTGGGGACATCATGCCTGATATGAAAAATTGGTCTTGTATCATAACAGTTTAGGAGAAACAACAGGTGACAGATTCTATGGGAACACCAACCAAGAAGCAAAAGTTTGTCTTCTATGATTCAGAGGTTGCATTTAGAACCTGAAACGACCATCAATTATTTGATCTTTTATTTGTTTGTTAATCGTATTTGTTATGTGTAATTTTTTTGTTTCCTGATAGAGCTCTAAAGTTGAAGGGATAATCTACAATGCTGATATTCCGAGAATGAGTCCTATGCTGCAAGTTTATAAAAATATAAGATTTCAAATGCTGATGTCAGGACTATTCCACCAAAGTTTCAAAGTTTTGGATTAACCAAACAATAGGTGATCACTTCCAAAACTGTCATTGAAGAAGTTAATGGCAATGAAGACATTATGCCTGTTAAATTTAGTTTCACTGAGTTTGTTGATTTAGCTGAATACATGGATGATAGAAGCAAGTCCGTCGGTGAGTATGCAAATAGTCTATCATTCATGTTTTTATTACAAATTGAAAATATTCTCAGCCCGCCTTCTTTCCCTTTGCAGATGTACTTGGAGTGGTGATCAGTTCATTGACCAAAAAAATGATCACTAAAAACTCCAAACAGTCAAATGTTCAAAAGTTTGTCCTCCTTAATGAAGAGTGCGAATTGTCTTTTTATCATACTACACACCTTTTTACTGACCTTGTCTCGTTTTTCCTATAGCTTTAAATCATTCCCATCTTGACTTTTATGTCAATGTTAGGTCCCAAACTGTCCTGCTTTCTTTATGGGATGATTTTCTGAACAATGAAGGTTAAGTTTTGTTGAATAACATGCAAAGCTAGCCCGTTATCATTGGTCGAAGGCTGAAAGTTAGCAACTATAATGGTCTGTTAAACTACTATTTTTTTTTTGTATTATGACCTTTATTTGTATGTCAAGCTTCTTAATCATAATTCAATATTCATTCTATTGTTTATTCTTTAGGTGTTGCTCTCTCTACTTGGTTCGATTCTGCACTCCTTGTTGATCCATCTATACAGGAAGCAAGACAGCTCAAGAATTGGTGCAGTGACTTGAGCTAACATGTTTATATGCAGCATAGTATCAGCTGTATCATTTTTTCCTAATATTTTCCTTACATGATCTTTTTTTTGTAGGGCAATGAGAAATACCAAGTTAATTGCAGAAATCATTGATGCAAAGAGTTATATTAAATACAATCCTGTGCTTTCTTTAAAAACAGATCAGAAAACTACTCTAATTTGCAATGTTATCCCATCACAGAAGGTGATCAAATAATAAAGTGTTATGTAATTTTATAGTTTCATATCTATTTAGCCTTTCGTCTGATATTTGTCTATCTTTTAGACTGCCTGGGTCAAGGCAAAGCTCTCTTTTGAACACATCTTCCAGAAATATTGGTATATGAGCTGTGCAAAGTGTTACCGAGCTACTGCAGCAGACTATGGAATTGAGTTTACTTGTAACTCATGCAAAGAGAAGAGCCCTGCTATGCCTAGGTCCTATATTACTACATCATTAACTTAAATTTAGATGCAAAGAGTTCCTCTTAATGTTAATGTTATACAGTGTATCGCCTAAGCACTTGTATACTTATGTTTTAGGTACCGTTTTGACGTTGATTTGAGCGATGACAGTGGAGTTATACCTGCTTCTATCTTTGGAGATCTAGCAGAAAATATTCTCACCTTTACTGCCCTTGAAGCAATTGATCATTTTAATCAGGTTATTTTAACTGCTCAAATTTAATATTCGGTGCGCTATTTACTTGTCACCCTTATATCTTCTGTACTTATTGCAGAATCTTGAACTGCCGCTTGAGTTTGTTTATGCTCAGATTAAAACAAAGACATTTCTGGTTCACATTAAACCAGTCCAAACACAGCTCGCTGATGCTAGACAACATTATACGATTTTATATTGCTCTGAACTCGAACCAGAATTTGGTCGTGCTCAGTTGACAGGTGAACCAGAATCTGTCTCGCTTTCAGCTCACCAGCAAACTGAAAATGAGCAATTGCTGATGATAGGTTGATACATATATCTGGAGTTGTGACACATAACCATTTTTTCTTTAAATGAACTGTTAACTTAACTACTCCTTGTGCTTACAGGAGATGGTGGTTCTGGCTCAAAAGTTCGCCTTCGACTCTGTCAAAAGTTTGATGAAGCAGAAACTGTCGACATCAATGACTTTGAAAGTTCAGATGCCAACTCCAAAAAGAAAGCAAAATTAGGCTGAATTGCCCTCATTTCCTTTTGGACTGCTCAAACATTAATATTTTTTGGGTTCTGTCATCTGCACTTCTATACTTAGGCAGATTGTTTATGGCTTTTGGAAATGCTACTCATATGTTCACAATTTCCTCACTTTTGTACGTGGTTATCTGCTAAACAGCTTTTGTCATGATTATTGAACTTTGATAATGGCACCTGTATCAAAGTTCTTGCCAGGCTTTCAAAGATTAACTGAAATCCTCCATCTTGAACAGCATGAGGATTTTCACAGATATCTTTGAATCCCTGACGATGAACTCCCTTTTTGCAGAACTAGCAGCTTTATAATCTATATAACTTGGGATTCATTTCCGTTTCTTTATATTTTCTGCAATACAATTATTATTATCCATTTGGAACCTCCAACTTTGTATACACACTTATTCATTTATTACGAATGGCAGCATTTTTTACAAATAAAACTTATATATTCAGGTCCTGCTACTTATATGTCAGCCTACCTACTACACTAAACATCGCAAGTACAAGGTAAATTATGATCTTGCCTTCAGGCCATTAAAGCACTACAAATGCATTACTTTACATGCAGTCGGTTGACAGCTCACGCTTAATGTTTCACATTGAATTGTCTTTTCTATTCATTGTTCCTTACCTTCCTTTGCAACTAATAAATGTTTTCAATTGTGGTAGGAAAAAGCTCACACTTAGCGTTAACAGCAATGAAAAATATATTCTTTTTACATTGATCTTTTCTTTATATATATGCTCTTTACCGTTTACAAACTCATCCATAACAACTCTTAACCATACATTTGCACTACCGCTTTTTCTGCATAAGAACTTGTCAGCAGGTGAGTTGCTCTACAATGTATTTCTAATCCTTATCACATGATGTAGTCTTGTACTTGCATTTTCTATTAATAGACCACTTTTCTGATTTTCCAATTTTACAGCTTTCATCCTGATAATTCCATGGCAGAAACAATCTTAACATCTCCAACAAATTTTCAACCGACAAATAGCTGCTTATCACCTTGCTATTTTCTACTCAAATGCATCCACAGAGGACATGTTAACTTTTAGCTCGTTCACCTACATTGCAGCATTTAGAGTTAAATAACACGGTATTCTTTGACAATATTTTCCTTCTTCATTTTTCAAGGTATTACCTGCCCAGTTTGAATCATTACTTCATCAGCACCACTGCAGTAGAATTATTCTGAGGTTTGGACTGCGGCAACGGCCTATCACAGTCACGGATCATACATTCGCACAAGGATGGGATGCTTTTTGTGAACACAACATTGTTAAAAGGCATGACACGTTATTACTTCGACATAGCGGGAATCTGATATTTGATGTCATTCACTTTTGTGAACTACAAAAACAAGTTCGTTTGCCTTGGACCGTTCCCCTACCAGACCTGTTCCACATGAATGCCGTTGCATCAAGAGGTAAAATTACCACTGTATCTATCTCATATCCTCATCTATATCATACATTATTTTTAATGTAACACATAGTCACTAATTACAGATGATATCCACATGGCCGCTGGACAACAGCAAGTTGCTTCCTCGCTGACACCAAATTTCTGTCAAGATCTATCTGATTCGGTTTGCTTTTAT